GGCAAAAAATCAAATTAATGAGAGTGAAAAAATTTAGAAAGAGGTTTTCTAGATGGGTCAAACGTTCTGTTCATAAGTTTTGTTGAGTCGACTTTGAATCTAAAGTGTGTTTAGCCTCATTAACCAAGAATTTTGCAAAAATCTCAAAACACCGCAGAAACAATGAAAATCGTGAATCCCAAAAAATCTTGAATAAGGTTTTCTTTGATGCTGCTCTTACACTTTTCTTCTCTTGTAGCGAACCCTTTCCTCTTCGAATGACCTATGCAGCGGATTCCTTTTTTTCTTCTGTCTATTCTGATTCGTTTCCCTCTTTAGTGTCCAACTGAAATCCGCCATCATGTTGATATCCCATCTTCCTTGGTAACGATTCTCTATTTCACTTATATCTTGATGGAATCTTTCTCCTTGTTCTTCACTGTAGTCTCCAAGGTTTTCAGGAAAGTAGTCCAGCTGAGAGCGCAGGAAGTGCAATTTAAGATTCATCAAGCAATCTAACTGTTTGCAATTTTTCAACATTCCTTCAACCAAATTTTCGTAATCCACACTCTTCTCATTTCCTGAATAGTCCCGTGTCATTCGTCCTTGTAATGAAATTTTCGTTTCGAAAAAGAGTACGAATTTGAGGACAACCAAATATACCTTCTTTCAATTCCGAATCGCTTATCCCTGGAAACTTCTCTCCTAAATATCGAAAACAGTCACCGTCTTTGTCCAGAGCTTTGACAAACTGTTTCTCGAGAGCAAGCCTTATATGAGGAGATGGTAGTAAAATTTTTAGAGGCTCAATCTGTGGTCTATGTATGATGTTCATCGACCCTGGATGAAACTCCGTTCTCATTGACCACCCTTTCAAAACTTAGTGATTTTTCCTATTATTTATGCAGCTTAAAAGAGTTCAGATTTGAAATCACCACATCAAAATGCATAAGAAACCGACTTCAGTTCAGAACAAATTCTTTCGATTTTTTGCACTCACTAACGTAATTTTCGACGATTTTTCACTAATTTTTTGCCACTTACTCAAAAATTTGGAGGTGTTTGAGCTAAACGGACTTCAAATGCAAATTTAGTACGTCAAAATACATGAAACCTATTGGGTCAAATCAAAGGTACCTACATACTACCTTTTTTGTGTGGCGGTGATTATTAATGCAACGTATTGAAAGAGAGTGGCATATTACACAGCCCCACAAAAAAAAGTGGAATATCCGAAAGGCAAGACCCTGGTATCTACATATTTTTGGGGCCGAATCCGGTGTCGGTTTGACTAGTTTAGCTCTGGTTGAAGGTCACTTTAAGGTCAAATGTAGAGAATCAAGTGCCAACAAAGTAAACCTACATTTTTATACGTTTTTAGGATCGATGAATTCAAATCTGAGTTGATCGGATCAGGCTGCGTCAAGGTCACTTCAAGGTCAAATGTAGGGAATCAATTGCTAACAAAGTAAACCTCCGTATCTGTACGTTTTGAGGTCGCTTAATCCGAATCCGGGGCCCGTTTGACCTGGTCAGGTTTGCTAAGTTCTAAACTCAAAACACTCAAGTATTCATTTATGCGTATTAAAATTTGAGTAACAAATTATAATAGATTAGAAAGCTTTCACTCTGAACCCGTGACTTTCGAGTTTATTGTTTTCGTATGACAAAATTCTAGTATCTCAGAATCTACACAGTAGAATGCTGTCGTATTTGGCTAAAAAGCAAAGGGTTACGACGTAGTTTTTATGTGTGCAAGAATTTGTCGATTGCATAGAAAATTTCCTGAGCAAGAGTAAAATGTTGAAAAATTTTTAAAAATTTCTAAATGGTTATAAAAGTGTAAAAATAGGTAATTTTAGTATTGATCATTGCTTATTATGACAACAAGTATCTCTAAAAAATTGTGTGCCCTTTCTAAACCTCTAACAATTTTGTCAATCGAAAACCACGAGATCAATCGTTGCAAAATTTCTAGGGTAGAATTGGCATATGTTTTACTGTTTCTTTACAAAGTTTTATCAATATTTATAGATATTTACTTATTTTAAAAATTGTTCCATATATACATATGATTTTCTATTATTTTTCGCCCAATGTTAATGCAAAATTCAACTTTTTTGATTCGCAGTTGTTGTAACAGGGAAAAATATGTCGAATAACTGGTCATTTTTTTTTCTTTTTGTATGTTTGTTGTTCGCCTGAATTTAGCAATGGTTTTTTTGAATAGGCAGACTCGGATTCTTATTCTACATAATATTTGGGATTTTTCTATACCACAAAATAGATGACATCAAACACAAACGCCAAATCCTACTTTTACTGCTACCGCCTGGACTACCAGTAATTTAAACGTTCTAACTACAAATTTTTACTATACTATTAAATAAAACAATGTTGATAACATTTTATGCGTTTGTACAAATTTTATTTGTCAAAGAATTAATTTTTTCTTTTTCACATAAAAATTTAATTACACTTGTTTATTTTCCGATATACTCGTATTAAAGAAGTTACAATTTTTAAGTGTACTTATTACTATTTATTTTATTATGTGTTTTCACACAATAATTGATATATTTTTTTTCAATGTACTTTTCTCTCTAATTTTTACGAATCCATCATCTTTGAATTTCCGCTTATACAGGATGGCCCAACGAAAACGTAACAGAGCCCGTAGCGGATAGGAAAAACTTTTTTTGGAAAAACGCAAAAACCCGTCGATTTTGTTTGCGAGAGGGACATCTTTTTGCATGAATTAGATGGTTCTAACTGCTACCCCCTGATCGGGGTAAACATCCCCTCCAAATTTTTAAATAGGAAGGGTGGTCAAGTTGCATATCGTTGAAAAGCTCTTTTGATTCTCTACACAGTCATGGATCCCTCTTGAAAATCAACCCATTTTTTTAAAAGATAAAGGGTGCAGAACTTAACACATACAAAATTTCCTATTATCTCTACAAATTATTCTCTAATTAAAATTCGCTATCGAGTTCGTTATTAATTTCAAAATCATTAAGTTAAAGAAGCGTCTAAACATATCCAAATGGCTGGAAATAATTGACCAGCAACTTCAATTCAATAACAAATAATTTTACGTGAACTATTCTCATTACTTACTCCAACGTGTTGTTAGATTGTTTGCAGTTATTTCTTTCACAAATTCCACTAAAAACGGTATAGATAAAAGACCATTTTGCAGTCAGCGATTTTATCGTAAAGTGGTGTTAGTGGTTTTAGTAGCTGTTTCGCATTAAATACAAAATAATTAAAAATGGTTTATTCGATGCAAGAGAGGGTGGAAATAATTGAATTTTTTTTATAAAAATAACAAATATGCTTCGAGAGCAGCTCAGTTGTTTACTGAACGAGATGCCAATAAACCCGTCCATCGCAAAATTGTCTTGGCGTTAGTAAGAAAATTCCGGGAGACGGGATCTGTGGGCAATAAAAAGCGAAACAATGAAAGTCATGTACGTAATGAAGCTGTGGAGGTTGCAGTTCTGGGACACGTTGCTTTAGATCATATGCTAAGTACGCGGCAATTGGCTTCTGTAAGCGGTGTAAGTCGGGGTAGTGTACAACGAATTTTAAAACATTTCAAAACAAGTTTCATCCTTACAACATTCACCTTCTCCATGAACTTCACGAGGATGACTTTGACCGCCGGGTACAATTTTGCGAGGTCATGACTGAACGGACGATGCATAATCCAAATTTTCTTTTCAACATTTGTTTTGGCGATGAGTGCAGCTTTTTCCTAAATGGCACCGTCAACCGTCATAATTGCCGTTACTGGGCAGACTCCAATCGAAGGATATTCCACGAACAGCATACTCAACACCCAGAAAAATTAAATGTTTGGTGATTCCCTTGTTGGTTCTTTTTTATAAATGGTAATTTGACTGGTGATATGTATTTGGAATTGCTGCAAGAAGCCATCGATCCAGCCTTAACGGTAATTGTGGAAAACAATAATGATTACCTCGAAGATGAACTGATGTTTCAGAAAGACGGGCTCCCCCCACTATGCCCACCATGTGCGCGAATTCTTAAACCATACATTTCCGAATCGTTGGATAAGTAGGAGCGGTGACATTGAATGGCCTTCTAGATCCCCAGATTTAAGTCCATTGGACTACTTTTTGTGGGGACACCTGAAAACCAAAATCTATGCCACCCAACCGGACTCTCTGGAAGCTCTACGTCAACGTATCATTAATGAATGTCGTCTAGTCACCCCTGAAATGCTCCAGAATGTAAGACAACGTTTTGAACAAAATCTTTATAATTGCATGGACGCAGGGGCCAACATTTTGAACATTGACTGTAATACAATTTCATTAATAAAATTTTGCTTTCATAACCCTGTATCTTTTACAACAATAGGCTGATTTTCAAAAGTGGCACATGACTGTGTAGAGAATTAAAAGAGCTTTTGAACGATATGCAACTTGACCACCCTACCCATTTAAGGGGATGTTTACCCTGCTCAGGGGGTAGCAGTTAGAACCATCTAATTCATGCAAAAAGATGTCCCCCTCGCAAACAAAATCGACGGGTTTTTGCGTTTTTCCAAAAAAAATTTTCCTAGCCGCTATGGGCTCTGTTACGTTTTCATTGGGCCACCCTGTATTGAAATATAACATAATTTTTCACCGTGAAACACGATAGTTTGTCGTTTATTGCCCATAAGTATTACCGAAAATATAAAACTGTGGAAGAGGTATTTATCAATTTAATTTTTTTAATGCTTATTCTTGTTAAAACGATATTTGATGTACAATCAGCTCTGCAAGTAGGTTACAATTAACATATATATGTAGATTAATAATGCTTTGAAATATTATTTGTAAATATTTTCAAATTTTACAGACATTTTCTAAAATTCTTGGCTAAAATTTAATAGCCAATTTAAATCCGAAATTGTAGAATTTTGTTTCTCTTTTTAAGGAAAAATAATATATAAAGCGAATAATCATAGATAATGTCTACTTAGGTTTTTCATAAAATGGTTTCAGGTTTGAGAATTGTCCACGTCGCGGCTGAAATGGATATGCCATTGGCGTGCAAGCGTCGTCGATGTCGGATGATATCCGACAACTACACACTGTTTCGGAATTAGTGCATATTAGTGAGTGTTGATGGTGCGCTGTCCAGCAAAATCACAGTGAAAGAGAGTCGCGTCGGGTTTACTTAGTGATGTGAGTTGGTAAATTTTCCAGTCAATACTGACGTCAATTGAGCTACAAAATTTATTTCCCAATATTTGAATTAAAATCTACACTGTTATTGTTAAAATAAATTTATCGCCTAAGATTTTTGCTCATAAGTATCAAGTTTTTTAAATTCTTGCAGTAACTAGTATTATTAAACATTAAATGTTTAAGTACCTACTTTCAGAGATGAAATTAAAATTTTTGAAAAAAAATCACATTTACTTAAATATTTCAAAAGCTATTTGTTAGACGTAATAATTACACAGGACCACAAAAAAAATCTACGAAAGGTCTCCTCGGTCAAACCTATCGTATTATATGTTTTTTGGGTCGCTGAAACCGAATCTTCAACTCATTTGGTATGGTGGTCCTATCACGTCACAGTTTTTTCTGACCTCAAAAAATAGCTGAAAAAATGGTAGAATTCAACAAAATCAACCCTGCAACCTGTTAAAACCTTATAACTCCACATCCTTATGATCCCGCATGAGTTCGACATGTCGTAAAATGATAACTCGTAACCGTAAAAATACATAACCTCAAAATTTCATGAGCCCAAAACCCAAAAACCCAGAATAAGCAGCGAATAAACTTACACATAGGTCACAAACCTTCATTTTTGAATAGTAAACTCTTTTAACCTAAAACCCCAAAACCCCATAACCTGAAAACACGACAAGGCCTCAATCTGAAACCTCAAAACGCCGAAGCTGAATAACACTAAGATCCCAAAAACTTCAAAATCAGGGCCGGCATTAATAAAGGGTTAAAAAAAATTAATAAGTTGGCGATCACTTTGAGCGTCACACATGAGCAGCGAGAACAAAGAAGCCACTGGCCGAAACTCATAAACTTAAGCTCCCAAACCCACATACCCTGGATGAAGTTAAATCTCTAAACCCGAGTTCCCAAACCCACAAAACTTGAGTGCAGTAAGATCTCCAAACCCGAGCTCCCAAACTCACATACCTTGGGCACAGCAAACCCTCAAACCCAAGATCCTAAACCCACATACTCTGGGTACAACAAGTTTCATAAACCTAATCTTCCAAACCTACCTGGCCGCAGAAAGATCCTCAAACCCGAGTAATTGAAACCAGATACTCATTAGAATCCAAGAAACTTCAAAGGCATAAAAATCTACGAGTTGGTGATGCCTACATTTTGCCGTACCCATGAACAACGACTTGGACGTAAGAGGACTCTGTTCCCTCTGGGGTGCTTGATTTTCGTGAGTCCCCTTGCCTCTCACTTTCTTATAGAAAATTTGGTTAATATCCATTCAGGTATTTTCTTTGTGCTCATGTGTGATGCTCGAAGTGATCGCCACCCTCAACCTTATTAAAGCCGGCCCTGGTTTTGAAGTTTTGCGGTTTTAGGGTTATTCAGCTTCGCGGTTTTGAGGTTTCAGATTGAGGCCTTGTCGTGTTTTCGGGTTATGGAGTTTCGGGGTTTTAGGTTAAAAGGGTTTACTATTCAAAAATTAAGGTTTGTGCCCTGTGTGTAAGTTTCTTCGCTGTTTATTTTGGGTTTTGGGCTCATCCAATTTCCTCGTTCGGGATCATAAGGATGTGGAGTTATAAGGTTTTAACAGGTTGCAGGGTTGATTTTGTTGAATTCTACCACTTTTCAGCTATTTTTTGAGGTTAGAAAAAATCTCTGACGTGATGGGACCAAATGAGTTGCAGATTCGGTTTCAGCGACCCAAAAAACATATACGATAATTTTGGCCGAGGAGACCTTTCGTTGAATTTTTTTGCGGTCCTGTGATTATTCAAATATAATATTGAAAATTAACAAACATTATTAAAATTTCTTCTGAACTGCGTATTTTGGAAATTTGATATATGCACTTAATTCCCTACACCTCTAAAAATTGTTTTAAGTAACGAACGAAAGTCACCTTAAAAACCATGAGTGTACAAATTTACAAGTTAGTCCCTCCAGACATACTCAAAATATTACGAAAAATTGAAAATTAGTTTTGGCTTTAATACCTACCTTATAAAATGAAAAACAGCAATCTTCAAATAAGATATATTCAGTTCAATTGTCATCATTTGAGATCAGCAATTTCTCTGTAAGATGTATACTTACCAGTATTAATAAATCACTTTGTATTTTTTTAGATAAATCCCAAGAATGCGCATACATCTTTAGAAACTATAACTTCTTCAAAATTACTCCTTATTCTGATACGACCATTTTTTGTGATAATTGATAAAGTACTTGTTCCAGAAAAATGGAAATTGTTCATGCACAAGTAAGTGCAAATTACAAATTGTTAATACAAGTAAAAAATTGCCTAGATCATAGTCTTTAATACAAACGACCATTATATACCGAACTTTTTTTATCGTTGATCGAACTGAAAAATAGTAATATTAATTCACAGCAGAATTTAATTTTTAAATTTTTTTATTCTTGTTAAATTTTGAAAAACTTTATGGTTTTCAAGAAAAACCGTATTAACTGAAACAAGATTTTAACAGTGTTCATTAGAAAATATTCAAAAAGTCAGTAAGTAGGCTTTATCTTTCAAATTTGCCAATTGGCGAAATAAATTTGACTTCACTTCTCTCCTAATTCTACAAAAAGAAAACAAGTACCTACCTAGGTAGTTTTTAAATAAGCGAATATTGTATTAAGTAAAAAACACAAACAAATAATAAAAATAATAATTGATATTTTTTCAACAACAGAGGCAATTGTTGAAGTAAAATAAATTTATTACTAACTGACAATTTTGAAAGATAAATTCATTGCGTACTACTAACTTTTCTATTAATTTCTAATAAACACTGTTAAAATTTTGATTCAGTTAATACGGTTTTTCTTGAAAACCATAAAGTTTTTTAAAATTTAACAAGAGCAAAAAAATTTATAGAATTAAATACTGCTGTGAATTAATATTATTATTTTTCAATTCGGTAAATGAAACAAAAAGTTCGGTACAATTTTAGGGGTGAGTCATCCCCAATGAACACCTTGTAGTACTTCAATTAACTTTAAATCATAGTCAAAGAAGACTAGTAATAAACCTAAGTCATGTACCAAATATGGTTCTTCTGCGGTAAAGTGTTGCAGATATATTAATTTTTTTCGAAATTTAGAGTCCCACTTTGGGGGGCTAATAACTCCTAAGGGGTGCAACTTTGTATGTAGGTAATTTTGGTTAAATTACAATATTTTGGACCTGCCCTGTCTCGGGAAAGTCAATAAAATTACCATTTTGCGGTAAATTGAATATAATTAATTGTATAGCTCTTTTCATGAAGAAAGTGCACAGGATAAAAATATTATTTCATATTTGCTTCATCAAATTCATAAAAACTAAAACTACAAGTGAAAAGTGCTGAAATTTCCTATTTCTTTAGTTAAATAAGAAGTTTCTAGGCAATACTTTTTTTGGATATTCTTATAATCTATTGGAAAATAAAATAAAGCAATATATTAAAACGGTTTGTTTTGTAAAACGATAAGTGTCAAAGAACTTATGAATATTTCATATTTTAATTTACTTCGTTCTCGTAAACATTCCATTTTTCTACTTTGTTGCACTGAAATATGAACAAATCAAACAACTAATCACCTAATTGTTTCTAAGGAAGTGATTATAACTCTTTATCCTCATTCAATTCTTCTGAGTGCATACTATTCCCCTGAAATTTCTAAGTATCTTAACAGTAACGAAGTAAATCGAATCAAGAAGCAAACTTTACACTTTGGTATTCTAATTGGGTCAAATTTCATATGAGATATTTCAATAAATGTAATTTTTTCTAACAAAGTAGTATTTTGTATCTCTGAAAGAATTACTTAGAATATTAAGCCTTTTAGATATAAAATGATTAAAAGAATAATCTAAGGCAAGGGTCGGCAACTGGCGGACCGCGGAAGGTAAAATACTGGACCGCCAAAAATTTTTTGAAAGTATAAATTACTCAAATAAATTATTTAAAAAATGTTTTTTTAGGTTTGAGTGCCAACCTTATCATTTTTTCTAGTATTTTACAATTGTGTGACTGTTTTGAGTTATTAATGGTTAGTAAGCAGATTAAATTTGAGTTCAAATGAAAATTTGTAAGAAATATGATTTTTTTTTTTTTGGACCTCGTTAAAAATTTTTAAAAGTATCCGGACACCACCTAAAATTACTTGCCGACCCCTGATCTAAGGTTTAAAAAGTAGCAGGTACCCATATCAGTGTTGTGTTTCTAGTAGGACGTCAAGTAGACGGTAGTAAAGCTGTAGAGGGTGTTTCAAAATAATGTATTGTATTTAGAGGTTGATAGAATGTTATAAAAATATTATCATTTTTTTCATTTGTTTTTGAGATACAGGACATCAAAAATGATTTTTTATTACCATCGAGTCATACCTTTTCCTTTTTGTATTGTAATTCACTAAGTATTTGAAGACGCTAATGAGTGTCGCTGATTTTTGACTATCTGCCGGAAGTCACTAATTATGATCTGTCTCAACGATACGTACCTAATTTTTTTTTAAGTTTTTTTGTATTATGTCATATATTATAATGCAAAATTTTGTTTTCCATAAAAAAGAACTGTCTCTAAAATCACCAAATTTGCACTGTTTTTGAAAGAAATGCCTTCGATTGTCCTAAAAACCAACCAGCATCTATTTCTTATTATGTCATAGTGTGTTGTATATCAACAAATTGGTTGACTTTTTTTCTCAAAAAAACGTGTATTTTAGCGAATTTTACAGGAGTATATTTAATATGTAGAATGAAATTGCATTATAATATATGATGTATAGTTAATATAAAAATTTTGACATGTCATAAAAAATTATATCCTGAAATGTCACTGAGGAACTAGCGACCTCTCTCAAATGGTCAGAGCACTTAGCGCTCTCAAAAATCCAAATATCAATGCAGTATATTTAATACATCGAATAGATGTATCTAAAATTTAATTTTAAAAATCGTCTTTGACCACTTGTATTTAAAAATAAGAGAGAAGCAAATTGCCAAATTTTTTTGATATTATGTCGTCCTCTGAATATATAATAAGTATTGTGAAACACCCTGTATAGAATGTAATTTACATCACGTGTGAACATATCACCGGAAGAGAGAGCATCAAAATTGTAAAAGTGTTGTAAGTTTGTCTTATAATCTCGAATCTAATTATTAATGGTTTAGAAATTGCAAGGACATTGCAGTTAAAACATAATACATTTATAGCAATAGCTCAGAAATGAAGAAATATACAGGGTGTATGAACCGACACAGGACGAATGTATACAGGGCAATGGTGTTCTAAGGCAACTTTTCTCTATACCAAGTTGCTTCTTTTTGCCGCTAGGTGGCGTTAAATTAAAGAGAGAGAGAGAGAGATAGTAAAAGTTTTAGTTCTTTCGAAATAACTCCAAAACGATCTGTTCGATTTAAATGAAATTTAGTATGCTAATACTTGTGTGTAGATGTCACTTTCTGACATAGTCTTTTACTCATTTTTCTCTAAGTAATGTTTGTAATTTTATATAAAATGGAAAAACCTAAAAAGATTTTGTCTACTAGTGGTTATACAAAGCATTAAGTATACAAGTTGCATTAAGGCACTATATTTTCTTTGCACTTTCCTTCGTCTGTTATTATGAACCCTCCTCTCTATTTTTACATTATTTGGTCATATAGTAAGGTAATTATTTACTCTTTAATAAAAGTTCAGGATTAAAAAATAATTTAGTAAATTTGGAAGAGTTAAAACCTGCTTCACCTTGTAACTTTTATTGCAGTGACAATAATTGTAGTTGTGTGTTATAAGTATTTTGAATCTTTAGACATTTTTAAACAAAAGATAAACTCTATTTATTAAGCTAACCTTAATTTTACGACAAGTAGTTCAGTTATAGTGATGTATTTATGTAATTTACATTATTTTAACTACTAGTTTTTAACAACGATAATGTCTCATAAAAAGAACTAGTGTCTAATTTCAGGACTAAATGAATATGGAACTAGATTGGTAGGAAGTAGACGTCGTGTCGTTTCGCCCTATCTCATTTTTTTACTTTATTTATTCTAGTATGTTCTAGAATATTAAAATGAATAAAACATTATTTCGAGAAACAATTCTATTGATATAATTGTATATTATTTTTAATAAATTACATACAATAATATTCCTATAAATGTACTGCTTACGTCTTCAACAGTACTTGATATTATTACTTTTGGAGACCGATGATGAGCAAAAATGGCGTAATAAACAAACAAACCATTTTTTATTAAAAATGTCTAAGAATTCAGAATGTACTACTAATTTATTAAATTATTTTCACTAACGTGAAAGTTAGAGAATGAATCAGAATATGTAGTTTAATTGTATAATGAATTTAAAAAATTTTTTTTTCTGAGCTACAGCTAAGATTTATTTTTTTTAATTGGCAATTGGAAGTGGGATTTTAAGGCAGATTTTTAACAAGTTTTATGAATTTTTTTACACACGCTATGAAACACCTGTAAATATATTAAAAATGTATACATGTGCCTTTAATTTGTTGCATTCAAAATTCTGCAATTGAATAATATTTAGTAAACATTTTATATAATGCATTTTATGAATAAGTGACCGGAATAATAATTAAAATAAAACAAGTTATTACCAAGTTTTCTATTGAACTGATTTAATTTTTTTTCTTAAATTTGTTAATATCTACAGTTAAAGAACAAAAAAAAAGTCGCTACTTTTTGCGGTGGTAAATAATAATTTTCCAGCTAAACTATTTAAATATTCTTTGTATAGGATGAGCCAAATCTTTTGGGCTAGAAAAAAGGAGTTTATATATCATAGCCTATGACATTTTTCATAACTTGAACCGTTTCAGATATGCAAAACGCTTTCCAATTTTAGTCATTTTATATTAAGTTCTATAACTTTTTTGTATGTGAAAATATTAAATTTTTATAAGTGGGCCTTAGACAGTTTTTCTATAATCTTCTTTATTTACAACAAAAATCAAAAAAATATATATTGGGACAACCTACATATATTTTAATATTTGAAATGGTAATGATTGCACATTTACACGAAAATTTTAATTCAAGGAATAAACGTCAATAATATTTTTTTAATTCATCAGTTTCATGGTATAAGTGTGCCATGAATGTATTTGATGTGTCGAAAAAAAAAAAAAATTTACACTGAATTGTATCAAACAATTGATTTATAAAAAATAATAGCTAATGGATTTTATGAAAAAAAACTGTATAAAAGATGTGTTTATTAAAATCAATTATTTTCACAAAAAAATGTTATACAACATCATAGAACATGACCAAAAATGAAAACCACCCTATATCTATTCCCGTGTCACCTAAACTATATGTTTTTTCTATCTTATCGAGTAACAGGAGCAACTCCAAAAATATCAAGTTAGTCCTACTTTGTACGAGACTTTCACATAAAATTTTACACTGCTCTATTTTTTTACCCTTCATCTAGAAAAATGGTAAAAGCTAAAGTTTTAAGTAATTTTCTTGCGACCTCCTAAAAATTGAATGTTGCATTTCGAGGATATTAATCAAACTTATGTTTTTCTAAATAGAACATTGTACATATGTTTATTTTTTTGGAACTATTTTCGTGCTATTAAATTTAATAAACATATCTTTAAATATTTTATTAAGAAGAAAATATTATATTGTAAATTGTGCTTTATAATAACCGCAATATGTTCTAGACAAAGGACATTTTTTTAAATAAGATTTTCTTATAAAGGGATAAGTTTACGATCCACAAGAAGTCCTGGTTTGCCTTTCAAATAGTTCTTTCTGTGATAACATTGAAAGCTAACATAAATAAAAAAAAAGATTTAATAATTTATTTGATCTAAAGAAGAAAAGTTAATTGCAGTTTTCGAGGACTCAAGTGAAATTTGACAGTTGTACAATACTGGAAAAAATTAAAGCAACAAAAAATTTTCATGGCTTTATCTTATTAAAAAAAGGACGTATCGAGATAAGGAAAAAATAATTTTGCAGCTCTAAGTCTCTAGTTTCAAAATCATTAGACACAAAAATTTTTGATCTAGTTATCGAACAATCAACCTTGAGAAAAAAAATTTTCCAAATTTTTTTTAGGACTGTCCATGGACTGAAGCTAGAAAATATTAATGTTTGGTTTATATCTCCAAAGAGTAACAATTAATTGTTTCTCTGATATTCTTCTCTGATATCTAAAACAGAATTATGTAAAACTTTGGTTATTACCATTTTTTCTAAAATAAAAAGGCAAAAAAAATAAGAATTACACAGCGTTGCATGAATAACCCCGCGCATTATATTCCTTTTTTAAAAGAACCTCAAATGTGCTCTTGACATGTCAGTATTGACGTCGGCGGTGCTCGACCGGCGGCCGAATTCACCCCCAGATCCTGTGTGATTTCAGTGGCGGAATAAGCAGGGCAGTGGCGTGCTGCAGGGATGGGGATGGGGGGCAGCTGACGGTAGAGGATAGCGGCAGGCGTCAGGGCGGCCGACAATGCGGCCTGTGTTCGTTGGTCGCCCGCGCCTTCCGCCGAGCAGTTTGTGGCGCCGCCAGCCGCAGGGGCAGCGGCGACTCCTACCAAGAACTGACCGGACCTCCGCCGGACGAGGAGCACACCGTTTCCGTAAGTGGCATTCGCTATGTGTAATTTCAACCTCATCCTGAGAATGTATGTCTCGATAATCCTGAAGTAGGGTGTGTAATGAATTACTGGCTTTCAGTATCCATTATACAGGGTGTCCCGGTAATTGATACAAAAAACTCGAGATGAGATCAAAATAATAATATTAATCAGTTCTTAATATTAATTTTGCATATGGGCCTTCGATAACAAGTTACGGGCCCTCAAAGCTGAAAATTAAAAAGTTATTTTTATTTACAGTCTCTAAACTATTAACTTCAGCATGATGCAAATTTGGTAATTGATACACATGTGTACAGCTCGCTTTTGCTGTTGTAAGTGAGACTTCATTACACCCAGAATGCCAGAGACGGACTATGCCTAATGGTTAACAACCCAGAATTTTTGCATAAATGACGATCACAGTCTGCCTACAACAAAAATAAGTTCTCTGAAGAAATTGCCAACGATGATACTCTCTTGGTTCAACTCCGTAAAATTAATAGTTTAGGAAATATTTGTGATTTTATGTCACAGTGCACATTGAGCGGCGCCCCCACAATTTTTTGTTTTTAATTTTTAATTGGACATAGCTACTATTAGACCGATCGAAATAACTCATTTAGAGGGAAAAAAAAGAACATTGTTACCTGGACTTTTATAAATGGAAATGATAAAAAGGCTTATAATAAACCTAAAAAAAATAAATGCATGAGCAGGGGCGGCGGAGGGTTGATTTGGGAGCATGAAATGTTATGAAAATTTGTATTATTGGGATGTCTGACGAAAGTTGACGTAAAAAAACTATCCAATACAAAAGTTGTAGATTATGCAAAAATCTACTTTTGTAGAGGTCACTTTTTAACATAACCTCAAAATTTCCAAGAAAAATGTGAAAAACAGTTTTTTTTCTGATTTTTCGTTTTTTATTTCTCATTTCCGCAAAAATAATTTAGTTTCGACGAAACTTGGTGAAAATATACCTTTCTGTGTCTTAAATAACCACAAATTATTTTAGATAAAAAAATAAAGAAGTTTCCGATATATTATTTTTTTCCGGTCTGAAACACGTTTTCTTCAAGGAAAAATTCTACTTAGAAAAATCATCGTACAGAGTTCTGCCGGTGATAATTTTTTTCGTTTTGACATATACTTTTTGGTGAAATAAAAAAATCTGTGATCACAGTTCAAAAACATTAACAAAAATGCAAAAAAAAATAAAAAATTACTTGCAGCAATGAATTTTTCAGTAATTGTTGATAATTTGTTTAAATTAAAATAATATCAAAAACTGATTACACCATTCTATTGTACGGAAAAATACAAAAAAAACTGTCTCATTGTTTGACCCAAAACTTTATTTTTGTATAGTATTGCTATAAACATCGAATAGTGAATAAATAAAATAAATAATATTTTTTGCGTAGGATCGATTAGTAGGTATACTTATTTTTTAAATTTTGATGAATTCATAGATATGCAGTGTGTCCAAGATAAAGATGGAATAGCATTAGGATCTAGGAAACGGTAAAAGATACAGGGTGGCTCAGATTAGAAAAAAAGTTGTGTTTTTTATACCTAATTTTAAAATAAATTACATATTTATAATGCTACTTTTTTCGCTCTGTACAATGGCATCAACCAATGACATCAACATGTTTGCAGTCCTACGTTTCGTCTTCGAGGGGCCATCATCGAGTTAATTTTTTTTAAATACGTCACTGCTATTTTTATGACAAAATCTAAAGTCATTTTTAATTATGAATTAGAGGATATTAGTATTGTAATCTCTTACAAAGTTTTTAGCTTCTTTTGGCTATCATTTAAAATTTTTCCTGAGCGCAGCTCTGAACGCTTTCAAAATATCTATTGGATGAAGTCATAACAGTATAAAAGTCAATACCGCACAAAATATCTAACAATTTTTTTTACTACTATTTAATACTAATTAGAAATAATAAAATATTTCATAAATTCGTATTATTTTTTTATTAGGTACAAATTTTTAAATTATTGATTAAAAAAAATTGTTGGATATTTTATGCTGTATTGACCTTTATTATATCCTCTCTCTCTCCTCCAATAAATACAGGTATTTTGAAAGCGTTCAGAGTCGTACTCAGGAAACATTTTAAATGATAGCTAAAAACCTTTTTAAACGATTACAATAGTAATATCCTCTAATTCAGAATTAAAAATTACTTTAGATTTTGTCATAAAAATAGCAGCGTTATATTAAAAAAAATTAATCTGATGATGGCCCCTCGAAGACGAAACGTCGGATTACAAAAATGTTGACGACACTGGATAAAGCGAACAAAGTGGCAATGTAAATATGCAATTTATTTAAAATTCGTTTTTAAATAAAGCCAGAAAAAAATAAAATGATTTTGCAAAATTTCGGGTTTTCGGATTTTGCGTCAACAGTAGACTTTGCAGTTAATACTTTGTATTGCTGAAATCTCAAATCATCCAGGGATAATTTACCATTTGTGCATTTGTAATTCGACTTAGTAATACTGAACAAAAATAAAGGTTTGGGTCAAACAATGACACATTTTGTTTATTTTTTTTTCCGTAGAATTGAATGTTGTAATCAGCTTTTGAATGTTTTTTAATTTAAACAAATTATTATCTACAGTAACTGAAAAATTCATTGTTGCAAGTCATTTAAATTTTTTTACATTTTTGACCATATTTTTGAACTGTGATTACAGATTTTTTTATTTCACCAAAAAGTATATATCAAAACGAAAAAAATGTTTATCGGCAGAACTCTGTACGATGATTTTTCTAAGTAGAATTTTTCTTTGGAAAAAAAAAGTGTTTCAGGTCGAAAAAATGAATATCTCAGAAATTTCTTGACATTTGTATCTAAAAAAATTTGTGGTTGTTTAACACACAGAAAGGTATACTTTCACCAAGTTTCGTCAAAATTAAATTATTTTTGCGGAAATGAGAAATAAAAAATCAGAAAAAAACTGTTTTTCGCATTTTTCTTAGAAATTTTGAGGTTATGTTAAAATCTACAAAATCTACAAAAGTAGATTTTTGTATGATCTATAACTTTTGTATTGGATACTTTCTTGTTTTATGTCAACTTTCGTCAGAAATCCGAATGATACAATTTTTCATAACTTTTCAACCCCCCAAATCAACCCTCCGCCGCCCCTGCTCATGCATTTATTTTTTTTAGGTTTATTATAAACCTTTTTACCATTTCCACTTATAAAAGTCCAGGTAATAATTTTCTTTTTTTTCCCTCTAAATGAAATATTTCGATCGGTTTAATAGTAATTATGTCCAAATAAAAATTAAAAACAAAAAATGGTGGAGGCGCCGCTTGATATGCACTGTGACATAAAATCACAAATATTTCCTAAACTGTTAATTTTACCGAGTTGAACCAAGAGGGTATTATCGTTGCCAAATTCTTCAGAGAACTTATTTCTGAAGCAGGCTGACTGCGATCGTCATCTATGCAAAAATTCTGGGTTGCTAATCATTGGACATAGTCCGTCCCTGGCGTTCTGGGTATAATGAAGCTTCACTTACAACATCAAAAACAAGCTGTGTTACCGATCACCAAACCTGCATCATGCTGAAGTTAATAGTTTAGAGACTATATAAAAATAACTTTTTAATTTTCACCTTTGAGGGCCCGTAACTTGTTAACGAAGGCCCATATGAAAAAAATGTATATGAACAACTGATATTATTTTGACCTCATGAATTTGTAGTCTACCTTTTTGTATCAAGTACCGGGACACCCTGTATGTTACCCAAGCAACACTTTCTGTTTAATCTGTTTGTCGTTTGGGTTTTATAAAGGATGTTTCCACGTGTGCAAGAATTTATTGAAGAGCCTTACTTTTTGCTGTTGTTTTGTAGAAATATTATTATTAACGTGGAATGAACCTAATAAAACAGTTGTTTAAAATTTGATGGCCTTAAGCAACTATAAAACTATTAATCCTTCAAAAGGTTTTATTGGTATTTTACAAATATTATATAGAACAATCTCCTCTAAAGAAAGCATTTTCTTTTCAAGATACGCAATAAAACAATGACTCGTTTTTTTAAATATAAATAAATCATACATATTAGCTTTTAATATAGTTCATAAAAATTGCGTCTTTCTAAGAAAATTAATTTACAATACTACCGTGGTGCAACGGTTTTTTTTCAGTCCACAACTTGAGCGCAAAGTTGAATTTAAATTTTACAAAAATTTGGACAAAAATCATCTCACTGGACTCTCCAGTGTTTATCTGTGGTAGTATTATTTTCTGAGCAAAAGTCTAATATAACAGAATATGCAAAAACAAAGTGCATTGTAAAAGAAAATCATTCAAATTCACTCAATTTTGCTCAATAATAATAATAAAAATTTAAATTTAAATATGACGACGATCTTGTAGTCAAAATTCATTCAAAAGTGAAATTTTTAGGTGAAAACGACCAAATATGGATCAAAACTGATGTTCTCCTAAATTTTATCCAAATACATAATTTTCCTAGTATTTAGAGGCAGAACACGATGCCATTTGCCCATGACCTCGATGTTACTCAGAAACTCCACTATTTGTGTGAAAACAGGCCCAAACTGTTCACCCAAAAATTTCACTTTTCTCCAAAATTCATTGAACAGTCGTGAATTTTGACTATAAGATCCTGTTCAGCGCATCGAATTCCTTTGGAAATGATGGACTTTTCTTTTCTATGTGGTTGTGTTACCAAAGGAATTTCCTCTTCTGAAGTTAAATTAAAAAGAATTGAAAGTTCTGTTTACGAGATATTTGTTAAAATGGCATTGTTTATAGAACATCATGTACATTATGAACATTATTCGTGTTGTTTGAATAGAAGGCCACGTATAATATAAATAGTATATACAGTATAAAGTTTGATGGATTTATCTATAATGGTAAGAGCGACATGGCCATCCGAATATGTCATGTAACATGTCAGACAGGAATTTGAAGGATCAAAGAAACTGTAGATTGCTAGGCTACCAAGCCTGTTTCTCATATTATATTACATTTACAACATATTCTAATGGGCATATCTCCCTTAACAAATATGACATAATATACAAGACGTTTAATTTAAAGAAATAACTTATAAGTGTTTTTTTTTGCAATTTTGGTAATTTAACCAATAATAACGAAGACAGCCGGCTTAATTTAAAATATAGCATTGCAATGATATACTGTTTGGTAGTTGATATATTCAAAAGAGGATGGAAGAATATCATTTAGGAGATGAATAATAGTAATAATAATACTAAATGACGTTTTAGAGAAAAAATACATATATTTTCAAATAAGACAAGAGGTGCATATTTACAAAAACAAAATACTTAATAACATAACCAAGTGTCGAATTTCTAGGGTCTCAGTAAAAGTAACTCCAGACATCTCCGACACTGTACATATGTTTATATGCGAATCCAGTGGGTTTTTATTCTTCACGATCATTGTTCACAATAATTAATTTTCATTGAAATATTCTTTTAATAATCACAGCAAATAATTTGAAATGTTATTAGCTAATTGCAACTATATTATGTATTCTAATCTAATTTATTTTCGTCTTTATCTTTCTAGTTAGCTTACCATACAATTTATATGCCAAGCATTTTAAAAGTTGTAACAGCTTAAAGGAAACGTATGCCACTATAACTGTTATTACAAGGAAACAAAGGATTACATCTAAAAGTAGAAACTGATACCACGGTATGTCGGACAAAGTATTCCTAAAATGATCCGTTTGACCATGTCTCAGTACGTATTCAGTCCACCAGACTGCTTTTTCCAATCCACTCATTGGTTGATCCATGACGAGATCGGCTGATTCTTTTGTCCTTTCTCTGTACCTATAAGTTAAATAGTTTCGTAAGTGGCAGAAGATTTTAATTAGAAAGTAAAAGTTGCTTTAGAATATACATAGAGCACAAGAGGAAATTCTCTAGTACTTTTAGTTTAATCATGAACCAATTTTTAAATTTGATACCCTGATACTCAAAAAATTAAAGTATTTGCCTTTTCGCGTGATAAAAGCTGATGAAAGGGAGCGGATCAGTTATTTCATCTAATCTTAAAAGACCATGTTCGAAAGGCCATACAAGGAACATTAAGAAACGTACAATGTGAAACTAATGTCACAGATCAAAAAGATAGCTCTTCTAATTCCCATGTCCAATTTTAGGGTTAGATAAATATATATATAAAAATCTACAAAACAGCAGACGTAACGAATTCAGTTTTTCAATTTTGGATTACTTTTGAGCACCTCTGTTTAATTTTTTGTGGTAGAATGTACAGAATGTATTATATTCTCTGTAAAAGAATCGAAATTGAAATGTAAATTTTGTTTTAATCTTAGTTGCTCTGCCTCGATTGGAAAAACTAAGACTGCGATCTATAATCATACTCGAGCAGAATTTTTCTTTGGATAATCTAATTTGGAGTACCAAAAATTAACAGATGCTTCCAATGACAACGCTGTAGAGCATCTCAACCATATATGACTACTCCTGAGCGTACGTGTGATTCTTCCTAGGAATACAGGGTGGTCCGAATTTTTTGCAGGAAACTTCGAGGACAGATAGATCTCTTTAAAATAATATGTGTTTGCCTTATAAACATTGGTCTCGAACAGCTCCGTTTTAGAAATACAGGGTGTTGAAGTTGTTAAAAAAAATGAATTTTTGGTTATATCTCCGGAATCTATTAACAGATTTCAATAAAATTTGTAACGGATAATGTATGATAGTACGCCTTACATCCCCTAAAATATGAGCTTTAAAAGTTCAACCAGTGGTGTACAACTTGACACAGGTCACCCCTTTTTTTACAAAAAAAACTACGCCACTGCATTTTTTACATGTCATTGTAACTGATTTATATTTTAATGCATAAAATACGTGAAAAAGTTAACTTGAATTTTTTCCCTAATATTCGCCGTTCTCAAGTTATTCATACCAATATAATCCCCTTATGGCAGACAATTCAAACCATAATATTACAAGAATATTTATGTTTATGCTTAAAAGTAATTTGTAACCATATCAACAAAATTCTTTACACTCCTTTCTACACCACCTGTGAGTGTGAGTGTTCCTGGCGTTTTTAGTTTTCTCTGGAGGCCTAAAACTTTTTACAAATAAGAACAATTTAAATCAAAATAATAATAAAAATAAATTTATTATGTTGCCACAGCAACTAAACAAGAAACAAAATTAACGTTACGCATTTACAACAATTGTTCAAAATGTGAACCACCCTCATCGATACATATCTGACATCTTCCATTAATGGAACTAATTGAAGCTAATATCATGTGGCGGTGTTCTTTTAATTCATTATACCCGTTTTCTATTTACTGCACTAGTTGTGGTCTTGTATCTGTTGAACTAGAGTAAACTTTAGTTGTCAGATAACCCCAAACATAGAAGTCTGAGGGGTTTAAATATGGCAATCTAGCTGGTCAAGACACTGGATCTTCTACACCATTATGGTAGACATTGGCATTTGGTCTTCTACCTATCCATCGCCCCATAGAATTTTCATTAAGCCATTCTAATATTATTCTCCCAGAATGCGCAGGAGCACCATCAAACACATTTCATGTTGTATCCAGCTATTTTGTCCTATATTCAATGAAACATCCTCTAATAACTCAAATAGGTAGTTTAGAAATGGCTGGGAATTTAGACGGGGTGGCAAGAAGAAAGGTCCACAAACTTTATTGCGTTCACAGAAAATTCGTGTTGAAAAGATCTTGTCCGAACTTCATGAGGATTTTCTTGTGACCAAATATGCAGATTGTGAAAATTCACAACCCCTAGCCTTTGGTAAATATACATTTACTATTATTTTGATTTAAGTTGATCTCATTTGTAAAAATAGTGGGTTAGGCTTCCAAGGGAAACTAAAACGCGTAAGAACCTCAGAGGTGGTGTGGAAACAAGTGTAATGAATTTTGTTGATGTGCTTACAAATTCCACTTACTTTTAAGCATAAACATAATAGTATATTAAACAACAAGGTTCGAAAACGACTCTTTGCACACGAGCGAGACATATTGATGGACCGAGCCGAAGACAAGTCGAGCGAGTGTGCAAAGAGGTTTTCAAACGAGTTTTTTACGATACTTTTTTATACGACTGCAAACAGAGATCACAAAAATCAAATTTTAATTTAAATCGTTTTTATTACTAAAACTACCAACGCATGAACAAAATAAATTAAAGACAACTTTTAATTTAACTCGTTTTTATTAAGAAAATTTCTAACGCATTAACAAAAGAAACTAATATTTAATATTTATGGTAACATTTGAACATTCCTTCAAGGTTATGCTGGGAAAATCAGTATTATTGTGCACCTTGTTTTCGGTACTAGAGAAAATTTTTTGTGTCGTGTTTTAGTGCAGTTTTTCAGCGTGCGGTCGTTGTTTTCTTGTTGTATTCCAGTAGACGATCGTTGTTCTGGTTCTGTGGCAGCAGAAGACACTGAAGACTCTATCTTTTTCGAAACTTCCATTTTATTTCTCAAACAGTCATCAACGTAGCCTTCGGCAACTGTACTGGATTTCCACCCTCCATGGCGTTTGAGGGCAAGCAGATTTGAGCCAGAATTGACTAAAATTGTGGCCGATGAACGCCGAAAACAATGTCCCGTGTAACTTTCTGGATTCTCTAGCATCAAAAACTTGGCGATTTCCCTAGCCATGTTTCCAATTTTGTTGATGCCAACGTTTTGGCTTGAACATTTTCCGTTTTGATAGTTTAAAAAAAACCTGCCTGTCTTCAGATTAGGAGGACGAAGAGCACAGTACTTTTTTAAGATAGTGTAAAGGTTTCCTGTAATTGTAAAACACCTTGGTACCTTTATTTTTGAATTCTTCAGTTTAATCAGCATAGCACTGTCGAAATCTTTGGTGTCTTCTATTTTGAGATAACATAATTCCTCCCTTCGACATGCCCCAGATAGTCCAACTGCCACCACCGCCTTGATAAGTAAATATTTGTCGTCTGATGCTTTCGTTAAAAACCGGCAAAAATCATCTTCTGTGAAGATTTGGGACGTAGTTTTCGGATTTTCGTTTGATTAGCGCTTGCAAGTTTTTATAAGTTCCAAGATCTATGTTGTGATTGGCTCTTAACGTTGACTTGAGCATCGAAAAAATCGTCCACAACGTCGAAGATTTATATTTCTTAGATAGTTCTTCAAAATACACCATTACTGCGTTTTCTGAGAAAGTTTGGACATTTTTGGCTAGTCGCCANTTAACGTTGACTTGAGCATCGAAAAAATCGTCCACATCGTCGTCGAAGATTTATATTTCTTAGATAGTTCTTCAAAATACACCATTACTGCGTTTTCTGAGAAAGTTTGGACATTTTTGGCTAGTCGCCAGTCCATAAATCGGCTTAACTCAGCTTCATACCTGCTTCTGGATTTTATGAGCAGCAGTTCCGAACATATTTCGCTTGCTTTCTGTAAAATATCTTCAGAATCACACATTTTCACACCCAAACTTCGGGAATTCAACAATTTTTGAAGTATCTAATCAACAAAATGAAGGAGCCGTGACGGTTGCTATGAAACTCAGCCAACTTGGAACATTGCATAATTTGGAAGACAACATCAAACAAAAATCACAATCTGGAGACGCGTGTGCAAAGATGACATAACCATGTGCAAAATGTTTAGTACACGGCGTGTGCAAAATACCGTTTTCAGAGCGTGTTTTCCGTGCGCAAAACTCCCTTTTGCAAGGCAGTCATATGAAAATATAATTATAATATTATGATTATAAATTTCTGCACAAGGGGATTGTATTGATATGAATAAATTGAAAACGGCGAATCTTATGGAAAAAATCAATATACCTTTTTTTACGTATTTTGTGCATTACAATATAAATCAGTTACAATAACTTATAAAAAATGCAGTGGCGTAGGTTTTTTTATAAAAAAGGTGATGACCCCTGCCCAGTTGTACACCACTGGTTGTACCTTTAAAGCTCATATTTTAGGGAATGCAAGGCCTACTATGGTAGATTATCTGTACCAAATTTTATTGAAATCGATTAATAGATTCCGGAGATATAAACAAAAAATTTTTTTAACAACTTCAACACCCTGTATCTCTAAAACGGGGCTGTTCCAGACCAATGTTTATAAGGCAAACACATATTATTTTAAAGAGATCTATCTGCCCTCGAAGTTTCCTGTATAAAATTCGGACCACCCTGTATAGTGATAATAATAAAGTATTTAGGGTATGCCTACTTTGGATTGTTGATAACTTCCAAAATCGCACTTCTAAATGTTCTTACATCCAACTTATTATGATCTAGTGTTAAACCAAATCCTCTGGCTACCATTTTTTCTGCATTGTTATGTTGGTCTCCAAAAAACGGCAGAACAATCATGGGCACATAATTGAAAATAGCTTCCTCCACAGACTGGAGGCCACCTTGAGTGATGAAAAGTTTTATATTTTTATGTCCTAAAAGCATAACAGTATCTATATGATAAGCGAATAAGGAGGGGTACAAAAATTGTAGCTATCTAGGAATTTCTACTGGTGTGAGTTGTGAGGTAAATCGTTGAAATATTATCATGTTGAATAAAACCAAGTGCCACGAATGACACTATAAATCTTGTAAAATGATGAAGAAGGCAAACAAAGTAATTCTAAAGTATTAAATATTGCAGAACAGCACAGAAAGCGTGGTTAAAAAGAACAGATTTCCGTCCATGGTTGAAACACATCGTTCGCGAATCCTTGATCCTTCAAATATTCTGTTTCCACCCCTCCATATCAAACTTGGTGCCATGAAACAATTCGTTAAAGCTTTGGACAAAGATGGCGACTATTTTGGATATTTAGGAGGGAAGTTTCTGGAAACAAGTGGTGTTAAACTGAAAGAAGGTATTTTCGATCGTCCTCATGTCCGTACCGTGTTCAGGGACGAACAATTTATCCCAAAAATGAATGGCACAGAAAGAGCAGCATAGCTAAGTTTCAAGAAAATCAGAACGTCTTGGAGAATTGGAAGAGTAAGGATAAAAAGAATTCATTTGAGGAATTGTCGGAAAACAGTTGGGTTGCCTGATGAACTTGAAATTACTTTTCCTAAACTCTCCTCTCGACTGCTATTTGGAGAACTTCGGAGACTACAGCGAAAAACAGATTTCACCAAGATATCAAGGAAATGAAACGGCGGTACCAAGGAAAGTGGGAAGTTAAAAGGGTAAACGAGCCAAAAGCAGAGAACAAGAAAAATATCCGTTACATAAATCGTTTGAAGATAAAATGGTTCGTTACAAAAGGAAAAGGCAGTAAAAGAAACATCATTTCTTATCTGGAAACTATGTTCACATCTTCGAATGCCCTTATCTCTCTGCGGGCATCAGATGGCTGAAGTTCTATCTCTGAAGAAATTTCCCAGATTTTAGGATTATTTTGCGCGGTATAAAAATTCTGGAGGGTGATAGAGTGATTTCGGCTTCGGATTCGTCAAAATACAAATAGATATGGTCCTGCAGTAACTTCCATTCTATTTTTACAATTGTTCCAAAGGCTAACCCATCTAGGGTGAAATTTTCTGTATTCAAGTGTGGATTTTCGGCGATTTATTAAAAAAACTGGTGAGTGATCGAGCAATTTTGAATTCGGATTCAGACTGCATCAAAATGCAGTTATTTTCAATCAGTTTCTACAATTATCCTTAATGTTAATCCCTCCCAATGCGATATTTTCCGTATTTTATGTATTTAAGGGCAGTTTTTCGTTATTAAAAAAAAATGGAGGTGATTGAGCAGCTCTGGCCCCGGAAGCGGGTCAAGTGACTGTGGTGTTAAGGTGGTGTTAACAGGACAAAGCAAACGCACTGTACATTTACAGGGTTTGTTAAAGAATGGGCTAAGTCATACACAATGTTGCTCATAAGCGCTTACATTTCGAGATATAGGGTGTTGAAATTTCGTATCCGCGGGTTTTTTGGAATGAGAAATTCGAATTTATCGACGATTTCGTTGTATCTTCTAGATGGCGCCACGAGCGACCATTAGGACGCATTCAAAATGCCAAAACTTTTTTGTGCCACGTTGTATTTCACTTTGGGTTGGAAAAATATTTTCCCCCAACTTTTCTACTTAAAAAAGGTACACCTTGCTAATCTCTAAAGCCAACCGTTTTCAACAAAAAGACATTTAAATTTGTAAACGAATAAAAAAATTGTTTAAAATTTATTTTCAACTCCATTGATAAACATTGAAGAACATAATATATTTTAAGACAGGTCAATAATAATTAGTTAATTTTTATATTTGTTACAGTAAAATAATTTTTTTAAACGAAATTTAAAATTGTAATTGCACTGTTACCTTTAAAGGCATATTTCTTGCTAATAAACGATTGTTCCTCATTTCGTTTATCAGTGTTGAAAATAACTTTTAAACAAATTTTTTGATGCATTTACAAATTTAAATGGCTTTTTGTTGAAAACGGTTGGCTTTAGAGATATTAGCAAGGTATACGTTTTTTAAGCAGAGAAGTTGGGGGAAAAGATTTTTCCAATCCAAAGTGAAATAGTGGCACAAAAAAGTTTTAGCGGTTTAAATGCATCCTAATGGTCGCCTGTGGCGCCCTCTAGAAATACAGCGAAATCGTCGATAAATTCGACTTTCTCATCCCAAAAATCCAACGGATACGAAATTTCATGAAGTTAGCTCGAAGAACAACATTGTATATGACTTTTCCCCATTAATTTTCGTCGTAGAATCTAGTGGTATAAAAAATACTATTCGAATCGCACGTACAAGAAAAGATAAAAGGGGGGAGGGGGGCTGACTGTTCTCAGTGGGATACAATGCATCTTTCAATTTCGTACACAAAAAATAAATCTACTACAAAGAGAAATAAAAATGACTCACTGAGGAGATCCTGTTGCGGTGTCCATCTCATTATTTTCATATTTTTGGGTTTACTAACAATTTCTTCATCAAACTTCCATAATATATCATGCGGCAACTGCGAAAAGGTTTTCAAAATTACTTCTTTTGTGGTATTAGAGAGATGTTTACTGCTAATGGTGGACCCCAAACTGAAATAGATAACTCCATTTCTGGCATTATCTAAATAGTCCTGTAGCTCCTAAAAATGTAAGTAATGTATGTGGTGTATAAGTTGACAGGCTTCAAATATACATATTTTTTAAGCTAAATATAGCCAAGCGCAAGAATATTTACATTGCTTCTAAAAAGTTTCTTCAATTTTTTAATGAGGTAAGATAACATCACGTCATTTCATTAATGAGTATTATTTCTAAAATAAAAAGTATTAAATATTTAAATATAAGTGAAATGCTAGTTAATCTAGACAGTTCCAATGAACCATCAACTTCATCTATAGAAATAAGTCACCATGCTGCTAGCACTTCAAACATTTACCAAATGCCTACAAATTCTGGTATTACTATCAATAATTGTGCTCAAGAGATAATTAACATTTATTATTATAATAAATTCGCAAATTGTTACTAAATTATGTTTATATTTATGAAATTAATGATTTTTGTTATATTTTTCCATTTGTGGTTTGGTTTAAAGCTAGACGAAAAACAGTTGTGTATCACACATGTAGAAAACGTAGCTATCAGTTGCTAATATCCGAGTGCTACTAATGCTCATTTTCCGTCCTTGTGACATAATATACTATTGTTTTTTCTGTCCCTTAAACATTCCACTATTTGAAAATAGCGTTTGATCAGTCCATAATATTTTAAGTCAAATCATCACGAAACTATTCACGAAAATCCAGTCTTAATTTGTTGTCTTCAGGCTACAATGCTTGCACTGATTTTTTAAAATCGTAATACCTACTTATGTTTTCTTAAAATTTTTTGAACTCCTGACAGGTAAATTACATTCTAATGCCACTTGTTTTGTAATATTTCTGGACTTATGTTAATTTGGTTCCATTATCAACACGATTTAAATTATTTTTTAAGTCCCGTATTCTTGTAATCGTCTATACAGGGTGATTCAGTCATAATGTCATTAATTTTAACCACGTATTCGGAAGGCTTAATAAAGACAGAAAATCGGAAAAAAAAATTTTACTCGACTTTAAAAAATAAAGGAAATCAACCCATAACTCCCGCTACGAGGGCTGCCCTGCCGATACCCGGATGCTCGGAAAATTTTGTAACGTAATGCCACGAACAATTGTCGGCTGAAGCGAACAGCGTTGCCAAGTTCACATCTTAATGTGTAGTTCGCATTTACAGTTAAACGTATTCAAGTAAATAAAGGAGCATGCTACATTTTATTATAAATAATTTTAACAATTTTATTAACTTAGTGCAGAATGTTTAAACAAGCCTGACTTCTCGAAGTAAACTTTCGTTAAAAGAAAATAAATCAAGCAGAGGTTGGTAGGCACACCGTATTTTATCAAATAAAAAAAGTCGGCACACTAAATACCCAAATATACAAAATACACTACACACAGTTACAAAACCATTAACAATTTAAAGCGTTTATTCAAATCTACCACCCTCCATATCTCCCGCATTTTTCCCGCAAAGAAGTTAACATAACACATTTTCAAAAAGTTCAAGCTTTAGAAGCAGCTGATTTCCCCAATCGTCTTGAATTTTGCAATTGGTTCCTAAGTGCAGCAGAACTTTATTAACAAAGTGCTCTGGACGGATGAATGCTGTTTTATTGGTGCTGACATTTTAAACAGGTAAAAAATATAAGTATTGCTTTCTCAAAAACAATAAGTGCCTACCTAGGTTACACCAACGTTTAGATTTACACTAAAGTTTACATTTATTATGTAAACTTTGGTTATACGCAACTGCATATTGAATAATAAATTGAAATACTAAAACTGTGTATTATTTAACATAATAAATTATAAAACGTGAAAACGTTAATAATATTAAAAATGATAAATTGTTCATTGGAAAACAATTATCCGTATTCATTACATTGTTTGCAGCCGTGGCAATCTGTTGGCCACGGCACCCTCTGGCTCCTGGACTATTTGTACACGTGCAAATTAAAAAGTGGGTCATTGACCTAGATACAGGTTAACCTAGGTCGGAAACACGTACCGAGTTGTTTACTTGTCTCCGTCCGATTGTTTTTTATCTTCTATTACTTACAGTCAGTATTTAATTACTACATACATTTCACCCTGTATAATTTATCTAGTGAGTGTTGGTTTTTTATGTCATTATTTTTGTAATGAAACTGAAATGGTTGTGAAATGAAATTTAAATTACTTGAACTCTTTGAGTTTTGTAACTTCAATATTAAATTTTATTTAAAGTGAAACAGAGCTAATTTCTTTGCAGCCATAATAGTCACATTTGGTCAGATGAAAACCCGCACACTACTCGTCGTTTTAGCTTTCAGGGGAGATTCGGTGTCGATGTATTATGGGCAGGAGTATATGGCGATCGTTTAATGGGCCGCATTTTCTACCTGAACATCTGAATGGGCCGCGTTACTTTGAATTGTTTGAAAACCTTCCCCTTAAGATGCTACGGGATATGTGGTATATGCACGACGGAGATCCGGCCCATTTTGCTCGCAATGACCGTGTATTTTTAGACGATCAGTGTCCCAATCGGTGGACAGGGAGATGAGGGCCCATAATCCTATGGACTTTTGTATATGGGGTTATATGAAATCTGTCGTGTATCACACCGAGCTAGAGAATGTAGAGCAGTTGCGGAATCGTATCGAAGATGCCGCTGAAGAAATACGTAACAACCCTGGTTTATTCCATCTCATCCGCCGCTCATCTATCTAACGTGTACACCTGTGCATAGACGGTAACGGTAATGTATTTGAACATTTGCTTACAGCAAAAAAATTAATATTATAATGTTAATAAAAACTGATTTTTGGCAAGGCATGCTCAGACCTCCTCGAAGTCTTTGCTGGGCAACAATAACAATTTAATGTGTTGATTGCATAATTATAAAAAAATAATTTATAGCATTTTAAATTATTATTTGCTGACGTGAGCAAACCGTTTATTTATTGTCTTTATATGAGAGAAAATATATAAATATGGCAACGTTGCATCTAGGGCGCGTTGTTCATATCGTAGCCGTGCTCAAATTCTGAATAACCGACGACGTCAGCCGGACAGTAACAGCCTGAAAAGGGGGTTAAATAATGATTTGAAAATATTTTTTTTGCTTAAACATGCATTTAATTTTTTTTGAATCACGCCATCGTATTATACTCATTTTTCTCTATCTGCTCTTAAAATTAATGACATTATGACTGAAACACCCTGTATAAACGTTGGAAAATATTCCTATTTGGTTGCTTTCTCTCGGGCTGCATCTCTTGATAACATAGTGACGCAGCCACTGAATTTCTATTACATTGCGTGTAAACATTGTACGTATCTGTATTTTCACCTGCTGAATATTGTGTCATTACGAATAAATAAAAAAAACACTTGAGTATTTATTTATAGCAGTAGATGATAGTTTGTTTACTTTTAAAGAGAAATATCAAAATTTTGTTTGTTTTTTCATGGCTACTAGGATCAAATTAAATAAATCATAAAATTGACATTTTTGTCTCTTAATAAAATTCCTATAGGTACCCAAGTATCGTTGAACTCGAAATTTAGTACTACTCTAATAACTACTAATACTCAAAAAATCCAATATGACGTCCTTAAGAAAATCAAAAATTAGTTATGAAAACGGATCTAGGAGGCCTGGCATATGATTTAACATTCCAACAGGTAGAGCATATCGCTTTATGTAGGTAGACACAAACATTTAAGAAATAAGAAAAACCTTACCTCCAATTTGTTTTCATAATCTGAAAAGGCACACAATTTTCTTGTAATTTAACCAAACGTTTTCTAGTTCAGGAAATACCAATGATGTACACCTTAATAGTGACCATCCTGTATACTTAATTTAAATAGAGTGTAAATTTTGTTTCGTTAATTGTTTGAAATTCTTTTTAAATATACTTTTTCAATGTGATAAAATTGTCTCACAAATACATATTTATACGAGTACATGTATGTATTTATATATTTATATAAGTTTTTATTGTACAGTCTCACCACGAACTCCAATGATGGATATCTGGGGAACCGTTCGAAGGATCTTTTTGAAATTATGGTGGTGTGATATGGGCCGTGCTGCCTACCGAGTTAAATTATTTTCAAGGTCATCGTGCTTCCGGTTATACCGGATAACTTTCTTATTTTAAATGGAACCCCCTGTATATTACTGTTTTTTTGGAAAGAGCATTTATTTTTAAGTTGAAAACATATAGCACACAGATATTTTGATTTTTAGGCAAAAATTAACAGTAGCAGACTGTTATCAAAATTTAGTTTTCCCGGAAACAGAGGTTTATTTTTTGTGCGAATTGGACATTTTGTTGGGGAAGATCTAATTTATCCAATCCGGTGTTAGAGCTATTTTATTTGGGAGACTAAAAAATAGTGTATATTGTACTCAGATAACAACAAAAGAAAATTGTATTCATAGAGTATGGCAAGCATTTAAGCATCTATCACCGGATTCTATTAGAGCAGCGTCCCACAAGGAACTAATCCGAAGGTGTGAAAAATGATTAGGGAAGTTGAAGGAAAACATTTCGAACATTTATTAAAATAAATTTGACAATTATTATAAATCTGTGACAGTTGTCATTTTGATTGTTACTTACCTGTCACGGCCATTCTAAAGTGTGCGAAACAAATGGAAACTTCATTTTAGGAAAATTCCATTCATAAATAAAATTAAAACGACTGGGTTTTGGTATAGGGAAACTTGAACAAAGTTACACTCAATTTTAGTGAATAACGTTAAAAAAATTGGGGGTTTATATTTAAAAATTTCGAGTTTTCCACATTCTCTGAACTTCATATTCGATTCATTTTTTTGGCCACCTTATAACGAGCGTTCAAATAAAAACGTGGTCGAAGTTGGCTCTGACACATTGGACGTAGGGAGTAGCTTATAGCGACCAACTTAACCTTAACCTCATTTCTCAACGAGCTGTATAACAGCTGTCAGTTTCAGTAACGTTAATGACTATATAACTTTATTTTAAAGAGTAATCGTGATAACAATAACAAACAATTAAAGGAGCTGCGGAAAGTGTCCCCCTCCTTGTTATAACAATAAATGAAAGCAGCTGCTGAAAGTGCCCCCCTCCTTGTTCCAAGCACTTTTCACACCTGTTCCTCAAAGAATTAAAGACATTTTCTAAGATGCTCGGGGTATTGTTAATTTCACGAATCTTGTCTATAAGTCGAGCCTGCAGATGGTTTAAATCAGGAATAGGCAGTTCAAAAATAGTGTTTTTAAGGTAAGGCCACAAAAAGAAATCACACGGCGTAATATCACATGACCTCGGTGGAAATTCATGTTCAGCATTGAGACTTATTAGTCGATTTTGGAAAACTTCCCTCAACATATTCATCGTCTCGCCTGCCGTATGTGCCCTTGCGCCATCTTGTTGAAAGTAAAAGTTTGTAATTTCGTTTTCTTCCAGCTGGTTAACAAAAGGAGCGATAATTTCTTCTCTATACCTTTGCGCAGTAAGAGTACCATTAAAAAAAATAGGTCCATAAATCCTCCTTCGATTGAGAGCACACCAAACTCCAATTTTTTGAGCGTGTAGAGGGCCCTCGACAAAAAAGTTATCTGGTTTTTCAGAAGACCACATTCTCATATTCTGTGAGTTTACGTAACCACTTAAATGAAACCAGGCTTCATCAGAAAAAAAGGTGATATTATGAAGTTCACCGTAGTTGTTTAAAAACCATTCACAAAATACAGCCCGTCGCGGAAAATCAACTTCATGAAGTTCTTGCTGACAAGTTAAACGATAGGAGAACAAACGCAAATCTTTTTTTAACACTGTGTGGCAGGTACCGACTGATACTCCCACCATTTGTGATAAAACACGTACAGAAGTTCTTGGCGCATTTTCCATTATTTGTTGGACATTTTCTTTTAATTCTTCAGTCCGCTTTTTAGGTCGGCCGCTTCCTTCTTTTCTTGTTACACTGCCCGTTTCACGAAAAACATTAACACAACGCTGAACTGCACTTTGAAAAATTTTGTACTCAACAACGCCGGGAAATTGATTTTGAAATTCTATGAAACATTCCTCAATAGAATACTTCCATATTCCATCAATCTTGCGTCCATTTCTAAAGTAGGACTCTATGATAAACACTTTTTGTTCTTGAGAAAACACCATTTTAAACGCTTTTTAAAACGAAAATATTCAAATTGATAGCGGCGATATAGCGCTTTGACAGATGACGTTTAAGTTCATTTGCTATACGCTACGCCCTACGTCCAAATTTTCAGAACCAACTTGACCACGTTTTTATTTGAACGCTCGTTATAAAAACTGGAAAATTTTCATGTCAAATCCGATAAATTAAATCCTCCTCTACAAAATGTTCAATTCGCACAAAAAAATAAATCTCTGTTTCCGGGAAAACTAAATTTTGCTGACAGTCTGCATCTGTCAATTTTTCCCTAAAAATCAAAATATCTTGGAAACCGTCAATCCTAAGTATAGAGTGTGCTATATGTTTTCAACTTAAAAATATATGCTCTTTCCAAAAATGCAATAAAATACAGAGGGTTCCATTTAAAATAAGAAAGTTGGTATCGACTTCCAGTATAACCGGAAGTACTTTAACCTTAAAATATATTAGCTTGGTAGGCCCTACGACCTATATCACACCAAACCTATTTCAAAAAACCCTTGGAGCGGTTTCCCAAATATCCATCGATAGAGTTGGTGGTGGGACACCCTGTATAAGTGCGACTATAAATAACGATTTTACATACCTAATTTTAGTTTATTAAAATCGACTAATCTTAGTCTAACTTGTCCTAACTAAACTACTTCGTTTCCCAAAAGTGACGCCCGTCCTTCTGGGATTTGATTAAGGAGACAAAAACGAATTGAAAATCAAGAGTGGAAAATTTTCCGATTGTTTTCCGTTGTTGAGTTATTCAAAACATATTAAAAAAACTAAAAAAGTGAAAATCCATTTTTTTTTTCTCAAAACTGAGGTCTGTGCTTATGGGGACCAAGATATATAATTTAGAACCAATAATAGGTAAGTACAGTTTTCGATTGTCGGTTGTACAGGGTCATTCACTATATATTGACCCCCCTTTAACTTTTTTGTTTTAAGTTATAAAAAAATGTGAAATATAAGAGTTGCACGATTTTTTATGAATTTTTCGAAAATGATAGTAGAAAAACAAATGAAGTCCAAACAAAATGGCCGCGGATGTTAATTTTGTTAAGTTAAATAGAACACCCTGTATATTTTTACATATTTGGATAGAACGTTCCCTGTCGAGCATAGCCATATAGGGTCCACCTCTAACAATAAGCAAAATACTTTAAAAAAACGAAAAGAAGGTTTTTTTATTAAGAAAATAATAAATCTTGTAATTGTTAGATCTCTTTCAGGCATTTCTGCCTTTTTTCCAATTACGTAAGGATTTACAGATTTAGTTATAATATATTTTGATATATCGCACATTGATACTGTCCAAAATTCGTATAGGTAATGTGACGAAATATCACTAATTAGGCCGTGAGAGGTCTAATTACTCATTGACATTATATGGTAGGTCGTGACAGTGACAGATAGTAATGTTTTGACAACATTGTTATTGATTGACAGTATGTATTATTATTTAATTAAAATAGGTTACACAGAAGTAGAAAATTATTTAGAATTAAAATAGAGTATGGAGAAGAACTTTGCTCTATTTTAATTCCTATAATATTTCAATTTTCTACTTCTGTGTAACCCATTTTAATTAAATAATAATACAAACTGTCAAACAATAACAATGTTGTTATGACATTACCTGTCACTGTCACGGCCTACCATATAATGGTAATCCATGAGTAATTAGGCTTCTCATGGCCTAATTAGTGAGATTTAGTTAAAATACCTATACGCATTTTGGACCATATCAATGTTCGATCTGTCAAAATATATTATAACTAAATCTGTAAATCCTTACGTAATTAGAAAAAGGCAGAAATGCCTGTCTTATTAAAAAACCTTCTTTTCGATTTTTAATAGTATCTCGCTTATGGTTAGCGATGGACCCAACAAACTCTACATGACTATGCTCGACAGGGAACGTTCTATCCAAATATGTAAAAATATACAGAGTGTTCCATTTAACTTAACAAAGTTAGCATCCGCGGCCATTTTTGTTTGGACTTCATTTGTTTTTCTACTTTCATTTTCGAAAAATTCATAAAAACTCGTGCAATTTTTATATTTCACATTTTTTTATAACTCTCAAAACAAAAAAGTTAAAGGATGCGTCAAAATATAGTGAATCACCCTGTACCTGGGTGTAAGGAATTATTTTAACCTGACAAGGATAGAGAAAAATATTTTAATAATAAAACATAAACTAAAACCATAATGTTCTTAAATAATAGAAATTGTTTTTACGAAAGGTGTTCAAATAAGTTGTCTTCTACTTCAAGACAAACATTATCACAATTCAACATTGAAGCATGAACACTTTGTAGCATCTCTTGGTCTATTAACGCTACAGCAGCGCAGCGTGTATACGGACTATAAATCTTTTCTTTTAAATGACCCCAAAAGAAAAATCTAGGGGATTCAGATCTGGTGATCTAGGAGGCCATGGTCCACCTCTTCCAATCCATCTGTCTCGGGAGTTTTGATTTAGATAACTAAATTTTACATTCGTAAACCATAATGTGATGGAGCTCCATCATGTTGAAACCAATAATTTAGTCTAATTGCTAACGGAATGTTATCCAGCAGTGGCAATTGTAAGTTTTCATTTAAAAACATACAGCTGCAGCAAATACAGCTTTGACTACATATATATTTACCAACCCAGCCCAAATGCTTATTTTTAGTTTTTTGGATAATTTTTTGAATAACTCAACAAAGAAAAACAATAGGAAAATTTTCCACTCTTAGTTTTCGATTTGTTTTTGTCCCCTTAATCAAAATCCATAAGGACGGTCGTCACTTTTGGATTTCACCCTGTATAAAAAAAATTATTACTTATATTCACGTGCTAAGTACTCAGAACTGCATATTTAATTTTTACTGTCGTTTTTTTATATCAGGAAAAGAACTGCTTAATCTAAAGCATCATACATACCGTAGGTAATGGTTGAGGTTCCATCAAATGAACACCTCCCCCAATATTGACAGTTTTGGGTCCTAAAGGTCTCACCACATTAAACAATGGATTGGCATTTATGAACACTAGACTGACATTCTTGATAATATCGTTCAAAGGAATCTGCTGACCTAGGCATTTACTCGCCACCCTGTCCTGTAGATTTAGAAAAATTTCATTCATAACACGGTCAACTAACCAATGAAGAGTGTTTAACATTCTCTCCTTGAGTGTCAGTGGCAGGGGATAAGGCATATCTCTATCTGGGTACATCACTGGGTGAGTTGGGTTACCTGCGGACATATGACCTTCTATGGTGGTGTCCATGGATACCACGCCAATCATTGGGGCGTTGAGACTTCGACCGAGAGAGAAACCAAACGTTAGAAGGAACTCCGTGAAGAACAGATCGACTTTTTTCTCTCCTTTCAGCAACTCTTGGACTCCGGGATGTGTTAGTTGGTATTCAAGACCTTCCATCACGGCTTCCAATGCTGCATATAATACCTTCATTACAGACTGACCTTCTACCAGACTGTGTACGTGGTTATATTTATCCAGAATATCGTAAGTTCCATTCAGGACTATGTGGGTGATGTTCTCGTTATTTTCTACAATGACGTTGGGTTGGATAAGAGTGATTTTATGTCCTCTTTTCGCCAAGGCCAGCCATAGCGGTTTGAAAGCTATTTGGTGGCTGTAGAATGGAGATGGCATAAATGCCACTATGTTTGCTGAGTGACATATTTGCGAATATAAAAAACTGAGGCTACACAACACGAGCGCACACTTCATATTTGAGGCATTACCTACAGAATAACTAAATACCTAGGTACATATTAAATTTATACTTAATACCGACTTCTTATCTATACACCTCTAACTCTGTTTTATTTGCTGATGATGTGAGATAACTTTTGTGCCGAGCGGTTTGGGTTACTAAAAACAACATATATTTTATTCTTAACAATTCGCAAAGGTATCGAGTGAATTACAACAGAAATATACAGGGTGAGTAAAAAATAATGGGTCAACACTAAGCTGGAGATACTAGACACCAAAATATTATGTTTGAGCTCATCATGCCTTATACGAATGTCGCTGGCTTAATAAATACAGGGTGTTCAAGGTTTAAATTTTATTCTGAAATTTCTGAATAATTGAGTAAGTTTTGATAGCATAAATTGGTAGTGCTGGGTTTTTTGGTGTAAGAATTGCGAATTTGAAGCTTATTTTGACGTTGCTCCTAGAGGGCGCTAGTTTCACCGTATTATTTAAGTAAATCAAACGATATTTTTTCTATCTGTTGAGCTATGCTTTAAAAATATACTCTTGTTTAGGTCGCCTAACTTTATCGGTTTCTGAGTTATTTGCATTTAAAAATTTCAATGATTTTGTGGTGATTGTTTGTTCTTAAAAGGTGAAAATAACAATAACAATTATTGATAATAGTAATAATAACAAACCTTAAATTAAATGCTGGAAGTCCACCACCTACCTCTATACATTTTACTATACACTCTCTTAAATGTCTCTGAATATTAAAAAAAATGTCCCTATTACTTTTAAATGCATTCGCGGCTAGTTGTATTTTCTGCTGCAACTCCTCAACAGAATTAATTTTTACAATACACCACATCCTTCAAGTTTGACCATACTGAAAAGTCCATAGGGTTTAAGTTTGGACTTCTGGGTGGCCAACTAAATTCACTCCCGCGGCCAATCCACCGATGAGGAAAATGTTCATTTAAATACTGGCGTACTGGCAAGGCAAAATGTGGTGACGCACCGTCGTGCATAAACCGCATACTCTCTCTTAAAGCTAGTAGTACATTATCTAGAAGCCCGTTAAATTATGTTGAAAATTTAAATAATGAGGTCCAGTTAGATTGGGTAGGTCCTATGAACAAACTAGAAATTAAACCACACCAGATATTCACCTTAAACTCATGAAAATGCCTTTCTTTTACAGCTGTGGATCTTCGGAATTTCACAAATGATTGTTCTTCCAATTGAAAACTCCCCGTCTAGTAAATGTCGCCTCATCGGTAAATATTGAGGAAATCTGGGTTTTTCGTTTGCATATTCTGTACAAACTCAGCAAATTGTAGGCGAGCTGGTAAATCTTGAGGCAATAACTGATGAACCGGAGTATAATGATATGGATGGAGCATTCTTTTTCAAAATTCTACAAATGCACATTGGCTCGTCCCCATTGCCGCACTTAACCGACGAGTACTCATACCGGAATTTTCCGAAACACGAATTAAAGTTTCCTCTTCTTCTTCGACTGTGATATATTTTGGAATGCCATGGTTACTTTTTGGTCGAAAAGATCCAGATTCGCCTAAGCGATTGTAAAGATTTCTGAATAGTTTATAATTTAGGTTACAATCTATTTGGATACAATTGTACATATCTTCGGACCGCCGCATGTCCATTAAAATTAGCCTGAGCAAAAACACAAATCATATCACGCATCTCACTGTTGGAAAAATTATGTAGTGGCATTTTTTGATCATTAGCTAATAATTTTGTACGAATAATAAATCACACAAACAAGAAAATTTGACACAACCATACTTAGAACAGAAATAGCAATATCAGGGACTGAAAGAAAATCACCACAAAATACATTGAAACCGTTAAATGCAAATAACTCGGAAACCGATAAAGTTAGGCGATCTAAACAAGAGTACATTTTTTATATAGAATTGAACGTTCTTTTAGATTTTTAACTTTTTTTAAGCATAGCTCTATAGAAAAAAATATATGTTTTGATTTACCTAAATAATACGGTGAAACTAGCGCCCTCTAGGAGCAACATCAATATAAGCTTCAAAATCGTAATTCTCATACCAAAACACCCAACCCTATCAATTTTCAGAGTCATGCTATGAAAACTTTCTCAATTATTGAGAAATTTCCGAATAAAATTTAAATCCTGAACACCCTGTATTTCTTAAACCAGCGACATTCGTATAAGGCATAATGAGCTCAGACATAATATTTTGATGTCTAATATCTCCAGCTTAGTGTTGACCCACCCTTCCTGTCTCACCCTGTAGAATAGAGTTCGTATTACCTCTGGACAAAATCAGCATCGAAGAGAATTTAAGATTTGTTTAAAAAAATACTGAAATTCGAAAACTCGACAATTTCGGTATCCATTTTTTGTTCGGGTTGGGTTTGGGATCGGGACCTTCTTTCTCTGGATTTTCCTTATCTTTTCTATAAAGAAGTTAAATAGGTAATATATACGTATTACTTAATATTTCTGGTTGTCGAAACCTGACGCCTGTCAATTTTCAGATTCCTGTATCGGAGTCTATACCACTTATAGTTTTGTGTATAGTTCTAACACACACATTTTTCGTGCTGTACTCTCTATAGATAAAAAGTTAGTTATATTTTAATGAATTACAATAAAATACGTTTCTAAATAAGTCGGATCTTTTATAAAATTAGTTAAATTGTCAAAGGAATAGGAACATTCTTTTAAGGCTAGGGTAAACTAAAAAAGAATAGAAAGTTCTGTTTATGAGTTACTTTTTAAACTGGCATTGTAGTTAATAGAACATCCTGTACATTCTGTACATCATTCGTATTTGAATAGAAGGCCACGTACAAAAGTAAGTATAAAGTTTGATGGGTTTATCTCTAATGGTAAGAGAGACATGGCTATCCGAACATGTCATGTAACATGTCAGACAGGAATTTGAAGTATCAAGGAAACTGTAGATTGCTAGGCTACCAAGCCTGTTTCTCATATCGTTCGTTTACTGCCAATACCTCCTAAATGACATTTTTTTCAATTTTAAGCTTTGAGTACTAAGTGGTAGAGAATATTCAAACGCATCGACTAGAAACATCTCGTTCGTTTACCACCAATAGCTCCTATTGGTGGTAAACTCAAACGAAAACTCAAATTTTGCAGGAGAAGCTTAAATCTGTATTAAAAAAAATGTGTCATTTATTTTTAACGTTTATGGAAGAAATTTTTAATATGTTATTATAGTTGCTCTATTTTGAAAATTTTTTGTAAATTAAGTAATTTTTTAATTTTCTTGGTTAGATAGGAGTTATTGGTCCTTAATTTTTTTCAAACATAGGAGATAATGGATTTAGTGAAAGCAATTTTGGTTTAAAAAATAACTTTATTACAAAAAAAACATACAAAAATAGTTATAGATAATACACATTAGTGTGGCAAAGAATCATAACAGTGATGACAGTCAACAGTAAGGACTTCCTTTAGTTCTTGTAGGTGCTTAAATTTAGTTTGCGTAATACGGATGCGGTTTAAATTTAACTGGGGATAATTTTCAATGACGCCGCCTTGAATAGTTTTTGGTCTTGAGGGAAGATCTTCCCATTGCTTATCAAAGTCTAATTTCACCTGCATGATGCCACTGGTCTTATAAAGAATTGCACGTATATCCGTTACCGTAGGGTCATTCTTTTTCCTTCCAGGTCTTATATATTGATATTTCAAAAGTTCGGTTTTAGAGAAATCCTTAAAAAAATCAAATTGTAGCATCAAAACTTCGTAAGGAAACGGTTTAACTCTTGCTTCGCGGCTAGCCGCTACATAATCACTTGGAAGATGAATTTCCCTATTTTTTAGCTTTCGCTCGATACAACTATGAACGGAGTCACACTCCATTTGGGTGTGACCCCGTTCAACAAATTTTTGAACTATAGTAATATTATTTTTAATGACACAATTAAGTAGTGCATTTACTAATACGGCATTCCTATTTTGGTAGGTGCATCCATCCGAATATAATATTACAGTTGATGGAAGATTTTTTGATAAACAATGTCTCTCCAAGTAATCAAGTATACATGTAGTAAAAGTTGAAGCAACCAAAGTACTATCACATTCCGTGAACCAGTAACAAGTTGCATGGTGGCTGGAGAGGTTGCTGGAGGAGAAACAGTAAAGTTATGAGTACACAGCTTTGTTTTAAAATAAAATTTACTAGCTTGTAGGAATGGGGTTACTTTTACAGCCTGCAGATCCATTGCTAGAACAATGCATTCTCCTGCTGTTGCTAACTTTTTATCGTTGTCTTTTTCTTGTCTAGCTCTATCCTTTTTTCTGATATGTTCAGAGTATACATCTGGACCCAAATTACCAACATTATAACTCGCGCACATATCACATTGGTCTTTTTTCAACTGATAGATTGACAAATTACTTTCATTAAATTTAGAATAGAAAGTCTTAATTGGCAAAATTTGTTTACTAGAATTTTCACAATGTTCCTTATATAAATTATAAAGTTGTTTAAGGGTTTTTACTACTGGTTCCAAGTATAATTTCGTTGAATTTTGTCGATTATAGTGGGATGGAAGTTTGGGAAAGTTGTCAAAGAAATCCTTCAAAAATTTAATATCTTCTGAATGTGTCAAAGACTTTGCACGTCGTGAATTTTCTTTATCCCTATGTGAATGCATTCCATGAATACTTTTTTTTGTCCAACTCTGCACTGTAAAAGATCCTAAATCAAGTGTGTTTAAGAACATTGTTCTACAAACGAAATATTTCTGACAATCTTCATGCGTTAGACTATACTGCAAAGTTTCAGATCTTCTTGAACCTTCTGTCGTTTTACGTTTTGTATTAGATCTGACATGACCTGCTACAAATGTCTTTCGTTGATCCCAGTTAGTTTCGGTCCAAAATCTGTCAAATATTGACTGTCTCATTTCTTCTGTGAATTTTTCACACATTCGCTTTTTGGATTTTTTACAGGCTAAGGACTTGCAGGTGGGTTTTAACTTTCTGCCTTCACTCATTTTATTTTGTTTCATGGTTTCATCTCTTGGACGGGTATACCCCAAATATTCCTTTCCCTCCATTCTTAATCTTTAATTTAAATTTTTCTTCCACATTGAACTATTTGCTTTATGTCGTCGTTTCCGCCCCCCATTCATATCTCCATACTCTTCTTGTACATTATTTTGTGCAATCTCTTCAAGTGGATTACTGCCACTGTCATTATTGTTACTATCGGAATTTTCCTCAAAATGTGGTTCATAGTTCGGATCGTTGTCATGGTTTATTTGTAGCATTATTTCTTTGTTGATTCCTACGTTTTCTTTATGAATCCTTACATCATGGTTTTCTTTATTTTCTGTATCGATTTGGATTTTTTCATTAGTAGAATTTAAAGTTGATACAACAGGTACATTATTCAAGTTAAGTAACTCGTTATTATCTTTCATGACTGCAACTTCAGAATTTAAAACAGAAAGCATTCCGTCGTCTTAAACCACGAAATTAACGATGTTTTCGGCTTCAATAATTTCGCTATCTAGCTCAGACTGTTAAAAGATAACATTACAACAATTTTCAATGTTTTCATTAGCTTCTACTTCTTCAAATATTTCAGTAATGTTGTTGGGATCACTAGGAACCATTCCTTCTAAACTGGTATCGTTGTCTGAACTAAAATTAAAAGACTGCTTTGCCAAGGCAAGGATGTTTTTTGTCCTAGACGACATTTTTTTCTGAAACAAACGTTCAGGGTTATTTTATTAATAAAAAACCAGGCAGGTAATTTCATGTGGAATGTTCCCAACAAAAAGATACCACTTGCGGTTCGATTTTTGGCAAGATACTTTTCCTTTTTATCTCAAATTTGGTGGTTTGTTAATTAAATTGTACCAAATACCTATAACTTCTCGTAAAAAATACAGAATAGCGGGCTAAATCGAAACTGATAATATTACTTTGAAAATATTACAATAACAATTTCTCCTAACTGTTCTTTTATTAATAAATAAGTTTATAGAAATAGCTTCTATCTTCAAACTCAAATTTATCAAGACGTTTTAATTTACAGACTTTAGAATATCAAGGTTGAATTTATTGTTATTCATAAAATAATCTATTTAAGCTACATTTCTGAGACATATTTTACAAAAACACAATCAAATAACTGTAAATTTTAACAATTCTTACCTGTTGTTACACACACATCACACACTATACTACCATAACCAAAGAAAAGTAGAGATAGGTGGTATTGGTTCTTAATTTTTACACATTACGATAGGAGGAATTTCTTTAACTTAATAGGCGGTAAATTTAAATTTTAATCATATAGCAGATTATATTACATTTACAACATATTCTAATGGGGATATCTCCCTTATCGTTAGAAGGAGACCCATCAAAGGAACATTATACTCAAACATGACATAATATATAAGACAGTCAATTTAAAGAAATATCTTATAATAATATATTATTTAACGAGCGGTAATGCAGGTCATAACTCACGCAGATGAAGTTTGCAGCACGAGCCGCAGGCGAGTGCCGTAATTCATCAAGTGAGTTATGACCATTACCGCAAGTTGAATACTATACTTTATCTACGACTACATTTTCTGTAAACGAGTTAACGTTTTTATTGCTACACCAATCTTGAAATTTTGTATATACACCTTTATACTTGTTTTTTGATTTTTCTGGTAATAAATTCTGTATTGCATTATTAGTTACTTCTCTTATTTCTGGAGGTGTACATAATAACTCATCTTCGCTATCTAAATTCATCTTCTTTAGGACTATTATTAGAAATTGATTTGAAAACGTCAAAATTATTTTGTTAAAATATCAAATGACATTAGTCCCCTCAATGATAATAATTGACAGTTCCGCCTACTGACAGGCGTTGGCAATTTAATAATTTTAAAATCTTTTAATTATTCATTCCTTTCCACTTGTTAAAAATTCTTTCCATTTTACACCAATGGAACGTATTTATATCGGCTTAAAAATTTCCAAGAATTTACTGCGCACACTATTTACATACCGAATTATCATTGTAGAAGCCCAGCGTGAGTTATAATAACTCACTATAAAAACTCACGCTATTTGTTTATTGATACTATTAATTACTCAAAAGCAGTTGAATAATTAATATATAAATTAATAGGAGTAGATAAACGTTTTTTATATGTTCCAACTATAGTATTAATACATTGTTTTTACGGAGTGGATTTTACCGTAGAAGTGGAAGTTGCTATGGACAACGGGAGGTAAGTGAGGTAACTTTGATGATTTTATTAATTATTATGAATGAATATTTATAGTAATTGTACAGTTATTACATTTAGTAACATTTATAAAATCTGGATAATTATTCCCCCTCGCGTTTACTAATTGTCACATTTTTCTCAAAATGATTTGACTGCCCCATTTCTGTCACCGCAGGCTCACTGTTATCTGACTGATCCATTAAAACAGAATGATGCGACGTACTACTAGAACTTAGAGTTGAAGTGTCATTGTAAAGAATCCTGTTGGCTATTTCATTTTTGTTACTTAAACTGCAACATAACTTTCTGTAATTGTGACTGATTTCCACCCACCATTTCTCTTGATTGCTAATACATCAACTCTTGTATTAGCCAGTAACGTTGCCGATGTTCTTCGGAATGAATGGCCTGTATATGTTTCAGAATGTTCTAGATTAAAAAACTGTGCAATCTTATTAGGAATCATAGAAAGGGCATTCTTGTCGACTGGTTGGTTGTAACATCTACCTGCTTGATAGCGCATAAAAGAACGTGAACTTTTAGTTTTAATTTCCATTTTAATCTTGATATATTTCTTGAGAATTTCTAAGTGAGAAAAAGAACTCAGACGAGAAGTAAATGTAAACGTACGTGACACCATTTTTAGAATCTGGAATTGTAAGTACAATAATGTCATCGAAATTTTTGAAATTGACGTTGTTCAAAGTAAGTTTGTATCTCCAATAATAAAGAAAACAGCCAATACTGCGACTTAATTTAAAACATCTGTATATTTTTAATATTTGTGTAGAACATTTTCACAGGATTGCACTGTTTGATATGTTCAAAAGAGAATGAAAGAATACTATTTGGGAGATGAATAATAGTAATAATAATAAAAAATGATGATTCTGAGGGTTTGAAAAAAATACATATATTTTTAAATAAGACATATTTACAAAAATAACATAATAACATAACGAAGCGTCGAATTTCTGGGGTTCTCAGTAAAAGTAACTCCAGGCATCTCCGCCACTGTACAGTTGGTTTTTATTCTTCACATTCATTGTTCATAATAATTAAGGCCGTCAGAGAGAGCCGCAATTCAATGGCGTGTCAAGGGGGTCAACCGAGACATGCGTGAGGCGCTACCTCAGAATGCTTTTCACGTTCACGTTAAGTTAGTATACTGTTGTTTGTTATCGTGCAGATGTTGCGTAATTAATACTTATCCCTTGGTGTTTATGGTGGTGTATTATAGACAATTTAATTTGTTGCTTTTTAATAGATAATGCGTACGCCTATGTCTCGCGGCTCAGTTCTGACAATCCTAATTATAATTAATTTTCTTTGGAAGATTATTTTAATAATCACAGTATATAATTTTAAATATTATTAGCTAATTGCAAATATTTTATCTATTCTTATCTAATTAATTTTCGTCTTTATCTTTCTAGTTAGCTTACCGTACAATTTATATGCCAACCATTTTAAAAGTTGTAACAGCTTAAAGGAAACGTATGCCGCTGTAACTGTTATTACAAGGATACAAAAGATTACATCTAAAAGTAGAAACTGATACCACGGTATGTCGGGCAAAGTATTCTTAAAATGATCCGTTTGGCCGTGTCTCAGTACATATTCAGTCCACCAGACTGCCTTTTCCAAGCCACTCATTGGTTGATCCGTGACGAGATCGGCTAATTCTTTCGTCTTTTCTCGGTACCTATAAAGTTAAATAAATTCGTAAATTGCAGAAGATTTTCATTAGAAAGTAAAAGTTGTTTTAGAATATACATAGAGCACAAGAAGAAATTATCTACTACTTGTTTAATCATGAATCCATGTTTAAATTTGGTTTATGTTTGACATTTCACTGATTACCTCGGAAACAATTGTTATTAATCAGATGCTCCATAAAATTTTAAAATGCTGATTGATGATAAATTTCTGATCACAACTGAATAATATTAAATAATGAAAATGTTAAGTAATGCATAATATCGGTTGTTAATACTTCTATGGAATGCTAGATCAGTTCAATTCTCAAACAAATCCACAAAGCAGCAGATATAACGAATTTAGTTTTTCAATTTTTGTATTGCTTATGGAGTACCTCTCCATTAAATTTGCATGGTAGAATACATTATAATTCACCGTAAAAGAACCAGAAGTGACAAAAAATAAATATACATTTTGTTTTAATCTTAGTTACTGTGCTTTGGTTGGAAAAACTGAAGAATGCGATATCTAATCACACTAATTGCGTTCGGATAAGATATACTTCCAATGAAAACGTTTTAGAGCAACTGATCCAAATATGACTACTACTGGGTATACGTGCGATTTTTCCTAGAAATATAGTGATAACAATAACATATTTAGGTTATGCTTACTTTGGATTGTTAATAACTTCCAAAATCCCACTTTTAAATGTTATTTCATCTAAATTCGCATGATCCAGACTTAATCCAAATCCTCTAGCTACCATTTTGTCTGCATTGTTATGTTGATCTCCATAAAACGGTATGGCAATCATGGGCACGTAATTGAAAATAGCTTCTTCCATGGACTGAAGGCCTCCTTGAGTGATGAAAAGCTTTATATTTTTATGTCCTAAAACGGTAAGAGTATTTGAATGATATATACACCAATCTTGAAATTTTGTATATACACCTTTATACTTGTTTTTTGATTTTTCTGGTAATAAATTCTGTATTGCATTATTAGCTACTTCTCTTATTTCTGGAGGTGTACATAATAACTCATCTTCGCTATCTAAATTCATCTTTTTTAGGACTATTATTAGAAATTGATTTGAAAACGTCAAAATTATTTTGTTAAAATATCAAATGACATTAGTCCCCTCAATGATAATAATTGACAGTTCCGCCTACTGACAGGCGTTGGCAATTTAATAATTTTAAAATCTTTTAATTATTCATTCCTTTCCACTTGTTAAAAATTCTTTCCATTTTACACCAATGGAACGTATTTATCGGCTTAAAAATTTCCAAGAATTTACTGCGTACACTATTTACATACCGAATTATCATTGTAGAAGCCCAGCGTGAGTTATAATAACTCACTATAAAAACTCACGCTACTTGTTTATTGATACTATTAATTGCTCAAAAGCAGTTGAATAATTAATATATAAATTAATAGGAGTAGATAAAT